GACACGCAAAAGCTAAGGGACACACCTCTGCCAGAAGTGCCGACAGCGTCCTGAGTGTCAAGCCGACCTCCAGGAGACAAAGCATCCCGGATGGTGCTTCCTCACAGTTTGCCCCCGCTGGCGCCGTCCTTGAGGATACCCTACGTGGAAATCGGTTTTTAGGACGCGGTCCCAATATCATTCCATTGCATGCACCGACGTTGGGCCCCATCAAGTTCGAGGTCGGCGCTGGAGAATCGGAACTTGCCCTCTTCTTGTCGGAGGTCGAGACGTACATGACATCTGTCAATCAACAGCTTCAGGCGCTCGAGGTACGCCACCGAAGTCGACTCGTTGCATGGGGAATGCGTGCAAGCCGCGTGTGAAATTGCTACTGCTTTTTTTCTCGTTTCAAGGCAGGCACCTTGTGTATATAACTTTATTTTTGCTTGCGTTTGCCGAAAGGCTTGGAAAACTGCGCGGCTGCGGTCACTATTTATCTGTAAATCTTACATTTGATCTGTCATTGTATATTTCTCGAGACGTTCATTACTGCGCACACACACACACAATTCGTTCGTACACAAGCACATACAACGTGCATCGGTATATAAAGCATCTTGCATTTCACAAACTGAAGCCCTTCATCCAACGCTGCAGCATCTCCAAGGATTCCTTCGGCTTGTCATATGGCACCTGACAGGAGATATAATCAGGGTGAACAGCAGCAGGGGAAAACTCTTCAGCACTCACCATGTGTCCAGCGCCGTCTATGGTTGCAAAGGTCAGTAAACCTCCTTCTACACTGCGGATTTTTCCCGCGGGGACACCGTCTATGCGCCAGTCACTAAAGGGCGCAGCAGCGAAGGCGGCCTGCCCGCTCCATTGAAGCGCGCGCGCCATACGGTCGTTTCCAACCCAGTTGCAAATCCAATCGTAGCTGCCGACATACAACAGTATGTGTACACCGCGTTCCAGCAGCGCTTCTATGTGGCCAGTCGACGGATAGAAACTGTCGAGCGTCGTGCCGAAAGCAGTGGCCACCTTCGCAGAGCACGAAGTAAAGTTGGTGCTCACGGCGGGGTCGACACCGAGCTGCGCGCGAATATCGCTGCGGTCGAGGAAGGAAGAGATCACTCTAAAGTAATGTATGAGAAATACTGGGATGGATGGTGTGGCTGTTCTTACTTGGTCACAGGATAACACAAACTCTCAGATAAGCCGCCTTCGCATTCGCGACTGATGTCGTAAGGGTTCATTCCTGTTGGCAGGTGATAAATTCACATCGTGATCCAGTGGAAGGACGAACTCGCCAGCTTCTTCGAGTGGACTTGAGAAAACGTCTCCGCACACGCCGACGGCAGCGGCACACTCGACACTGTCAAATTTGTTTAAACAGGCGTCTTTCATCCACGTTTCGCAGCGAGGGATCTGTCAGCACGTTATAAGTCGTTTCGGAAAAGGGGAATCAAGAGTTAGCAACCATTGTCCTCATTCGAACGCATGTGGCGATGTCAAGAATCGGCGGAATGGACGCCGCTGTGCAGGTCATGTCCCAATATGATGGTATCATGGAATAAAGATCGGACAACCCATTTCCTAGCAGTAAAAGAATCAGGGGCAGACTCTGGGGATGAATTGTATTCATACCGATCATGACAGATGTAAGGTTGATGGGCGGGATGCCTGCTTGAATGAGCTGGGCGTTCTGGTCGTATACTTGCGCCGCAAACTCAGGAAGATAGCGACCCTGAGCAACGTTCGCGCCATGATAGCATATTTGGGACCAAAACTAGGACGTACCGCATAGGACTCTCCTGCCATATGAAACGGACGACCCTGGAACTGTGAAAAATGCGCGAAAAATATGGCGACAAATGCAGCAATATCGACGGCCGCCTCTTCAGTCGTGCTCTAGAAGAATGCGATTCAGTCGTGTACTAATCTGTCATCCGCTCCATTACTTACAACTTTCTCGCCATAGTCGGCGTAGGAGAAACCGGTACCAATTGGCTATTTAATATTAAGCAAACAAAATAATCGGAAAAGATCAAGAGTATCAGACAGCGGACCTGATCAATGAAGAATATGTTCGCATTTGTGTTCCAAGATTCGAGGTGATGCTTAGGCCCTTCAGCGTCCAGGATGCGACAGGGCCCTTAGAATGTCCAAGATATGACTAGTATGACTACTCGATACTCAACATCTATGTCAAATAAAACTCTTACCTAGCTCCATGAACAGACCCAGCGATGACGAGCATCCCGGACCTGTGCCGCGCTTGATGAAAAGACTTTTCGAACTTGCAATAGTACTCGCCTCCGTTGGTCCAGAAGATGACGTCGTCAGTTGACGGGTCACTCCTACTTTCAAAAAAATAGAAGAAGAGGTGCCGTGCCCCAGTAATATCAAGATATCCAGTGTATGCACTAATAGTAGGCAACTTGTCAGTGGAAAGTCCCGTAGTACAACTATGCATGATACATCCTCACTTGACAGTTTCGTCACAGAAACTAGTCTTCTTGATCCTTATTCCATACCGAGGAAATAGCGGATGTTCGAGAGTCGTGAAAGACGATTCTGATAGAGCAGACAAAGACTCAAGGGGGGTAAACAAACCAGAATCATACGACTCGAAGACCACTTGTCTGGCGCATGATACAAAAAATGTCGATTGTAACGACGCCCACGTTACGCTGAGCAGAAGTGGAATGCCAAACATATCGACGAGCGAGATATGCACAGGAGCTGTCAAGATTGCCCGGAACGACAGTCTTTACGACTATCAACCTCTATCAACTAAGCGCTGAAGCTATCGGTGGGCATGTGGCCTTATGTAACACAACTTGCGAGTTCAACAAACGGGAATACGTCGGATGCACTGTAGCCCAATCTGCTCTCAACTCGACAAGCAGACATGCACTTTGCAGGCACCCATATAACGACACAACAGTTTACCAATTGGGAGAAAGGCGCGACCCCTGCTTGTACTGCCAGCCACTAAACTCTATTTAAGTAAATCACGCATACATCTAAACATATATTTCTAGTCATTAACGTTTGATCCTTCCCATCTAGTTGACGAGAGCGTGCTTTTTGTTACCAGCAGAGGAAAAGTATTCAAGCGAATCCTTCGGGTTGGCCTTGATGGTCTGGCTGCCCTCTGTCCAGTTGGCAGGGCACACCTCACCATGCTCGTCAGTGAACTGGAAAGCTTTGACGAGACGAATAGTCTCCTCAACGGAGCGGCCAACAGGAAGATCGTTGATCGTGATTTGACTACCGAGCCGATAAATGAACCGATACTTCGATGATCATCCGAATGCAACGCACCGAAGAATACCCTTGGGGTCGATAAGGAAGAGACCACGGAGAGCAATACCCTCCTCCTCAATGAGAACACCGTAGTCCCTTGCGATCTTCATGTTGCGATCAGCCAGGAGAGGAAGCTTGAGATTGGGGCCAAGACCACCCTCCTTGCGGGGCTGGTTCGACCATGCGAAGTGAGAGAATTGAGAGTCGGTCGACGCACCTGTTGAGCTTCGCAGTGAGATACATTCAGAAGAAGATTATTTACTCATACCGAGCACGACGGTGTTCAGCTGGTGAAAGGCCACCAAGGCGTCATTGAAAGCGAGAATCTCCGTCGGGCAAACGAAGGTGAAGTCCCTGAATTCTGTGGGTCGAAATGTGGTATAGAAAACATTCAAAAACGTGGCCTTACATGGGGTAGAAGAACAGCACGACCCTGCGTAAGAACCCAAAATTCAATATTCGTCCCAATTTGCCGTCCCAAACGAAACTGACCATTTTCCGAGGAAATCCGAGAGAGATATGTCCTTCATGAGGCCATCCTCGACGGCGGCAGCAGTGAAAGCAGGCGCAGGCTTCTGGACGGTGGCAACCATGATGAGAGCAGGGGACAAAAACTGTAGAACTCGGAGCCGTGGTCCGCAATTTCAAGCTTTCTTGCGCGTTATTTGCACATGTTTACGCTGTCGGATGTAGGTCCGACTCGCATGAATGACGGGAAAAAAGTGGAGAGAGTCGTGATTTCTGTCAGAAACGCACGTGAAAGGCCTCCGAAAGGCCATCACAACAGCCTGAGATTTTTTTATTGCCAAAAATGGCAGGAAAATGAATAGATTTAGTCACGTTCGAGCCGATGCAAGTCACGACCATTTGCAAGCGACATTTCTGCACGTGATGTGATGAGTTATGCAGCTATAGAGATCACGTTAGCGTAATCTGCCTGAGACGTCCCTAGTCCCTGGTGAGTGAGCCCATTCGTTCGCCTTCGCGATCGTACCTACTTATCGCCCAATTGGTGCTCGCAAGCAAGTACGAACAAAAGAACAAAAAAAATCGCTAAAAAAGAACTTGGGAAGCTCTGTGAAATCAGGCACGTAGGTAAAGAACCTGCTAGAATATACGTTACAAAGACCCTGCATGGCATCAGTTTGGGTGGTCACTCGGGCCTCAGATTAACGAGATAATCAAGGATGCAGGAAGCGAAGATATCCAGAGATATCCGTCCGCCCCAGGATTATTCAGAATCGCAATGGCTCCCCTAGACTGGAATGCTCCAGGCCTCTTAGCTACCTCGCTTGACAATACATAGAACCTCTTCCCCATGAGATGGAGTTGGTTCAGCCGACCTCGCAAACATGGACAACACAACCGTGATAAAGGAATGCGATTGCTTATCGACACACCGCACTGGACCATTTGGAGAAGAGGGCCGGTTGTCTGTCTGGCCATGGGCTGCAGCACGCAGGTCTTTTGCAGAACGCATCGCAGTCAACGTAGAAAGCTCGAAGGCCACATATAACCAGAATCCAGATCTGTTTTGCAGCCCGATGTGTTGCAACCACTTTATATTCATGAAGAAGGAAACCAAGACAATGACGACTAGCCTCTCGCCATACGGAAAGTGAAGCGAAAATAATGAGCCACAAGGGGACCCATTGTCATTTGGCGTCGATAGACAAGCGGCGACATGGTTTTCATGAATTAAAAAACGTCACCTGTGCGATTCGAACACACGCGCTCAAAGAGCAATGCCTAACTAGCTATTTTGCATATCCATTGGTGTATAGCAGGGCATCCCGTTAACCACTCCGGCAAAGTGACAACATTATATTAACAACGCAGATCGTATTTGTCCTGATCGTACAATTGTCCTATGTAGATTGCAAGATGGCAAACCGAACAACAAACACCGCTTTCGTTGACAAGGCCACCAAGTTCATCTATTAACATTGAAAACTACAAAAAAGCAAGATAACATGACAAAAATGAAATCTATCCGAGTCGTCGTTTCTAAGGATTAAACATTGGCAAGACCACCTCACCATCCTAGAGCGCTCAGATTGATGTGTTGAATTCCCAAACCGAAATGTCCCAGTATATCTGGCTTCACCTCCCAGAAATCAACATGGACGTATTGGAGGGTGCGCACTCCGGGAGCAACTTGGGGCGGCTGACGCGACGACAACATCTCGTCGATGGCTTCCGAAAACCGTGCGCTGTACTCACGGCCTTTCGTGTGCCATCTGCCGAGGCTGAGCCTGGTCAAAGCAGGAAGCAGCACCTCATCGTCGCCGGGCATGATCATAAGGGCTTCGATGAGAGCCTGCTTAGTGCGCGCGCGGTGCTGGGCCGCCTCCGTGCTCTGATGAGCCCTCTCTGAGTAAAAGACCAACGCCTGCAGGAGCCGCAAGCGAGGATGCGCGAGTATATCACACAACTCCGTGCCACCCACATCTGTGCCCGTGAGCTCAAGACGGCGTAGCATGGTGCCGCCGCTACGATCCAGAAGACTCTTGAATTGTTGCGTCGGCCATGGTCGCATCGGCGCCGTGCCATCAAACTCGCCTCCAAGCATGCTGAGCTGCAAGTCCTGCAACTTTGGCAGTATGAGGTGTGCAAGCACAGTTGCGAGCGGATCGCGACGCGATGCGAGTCGCAGAAGACGCACAGTACTAGTGAACAGGATATCCGGCCCAACAATGGCGTTATAGGGGGACCCGTCGCCACCTACAAAAATTGAAGAGTGCGCCAAGGCAAGATCTGCTTCTACGAGCCCTTTGCAGTGTCCGAGCACCACGAGTACGGCGTCCGTGGAAGGGATGGCATTCATCTTCAGTGTGGTGATTTGTGCGAACGCGGATGGATGAGCGCCACCAACATGAAGATGGAGATCACCGACACCAAAGATAGTAAGCTTGCGCAGCAGAGGAGCTCTGTCGGCGAGCGCAAGAAGCTCACGAACGTCGGCGTAGGGAGTGCCGGAACGCACGTTGACCTTGAGATGCTCAAGCCACGGCGCTGACTGGGACGCCGGGGTGAGTGGATATGCGTAGTTAGGCGGCACGAACATGCCTACACGGCACCAGCGGTCGGTGTGGGCTAGGAGCATGACCATAACTTCGTTGTAGAGATCGTGAGATGCCCAGAACTGGTATCCAATGTAAATGTGAAGAGGAAGCGCCCGTGAACGTTGCAACGCGTCGGAAATAAGAGCTATGGAGGGTCTGACTCGTTTATTACAGATGGTGATACTCAGGTGATTCCACAGTGGAGGGAGGGACATCGCAATGCTGCGCCAGGAGTGGCAAACGGACATGAGAGAGAGGGGCGCATTCGATGTGGTGGGGAAGTGATCGTGTGGTGTAGTTTTGCGGAACGAGAATAAGCAGTTCACAAAGATGTCCTGCCAGACTTCGATGGGCAGTCTCGACATAGCCAGATACATGGAGGATCTCGAATCATTAGGGAGAGATGCCACGGATCGTGGAGACTCATCTGCAGGCTCGTCTGTTACCGCTCTTACAAAGGAAGTAGAAGATGCAATTCGACGGGGCGTCAAGGCCATAGAGATATTGCGAACGTCGTGATATCCACAATGGCACCCCTGTGTGTGTTTGGCAATCAAGATATAATGGACATGGACAGCAATCGATAAGCGAACGCACAATATGATGCAGCGAGCAGCAAAGGCTAACTAGTAACTTGCGGAGTATGTGGATGCTAGCAGTGTCTAGTGTCGCGTTGGATGTATGTAGAATATATCAGCGCAGAAGACAGGCTGTTTCTCCTTTGCTTAACGAGCGTCGTTTCTAGTCTAGGGTCTAGGGAGAATCAAAAGTGAGACCTATGCTTCCAGCCGGTTGGATCAGCTCCAGCAGAGCATGACCGAGACACCCTCCTATCGAGCCACAGCAGTGGCCAATCGATCGATCAGCCATACCATTCGAGGAGGTTGGCCGACAAAAAAAAACATGGCAGGTCAGGATAAACAATTGCCGATTCGGAAAGAATGCAATGTTTCACTTATGTAATCGCTCGTTGAATTGCACTGTATTCCAAAGAAATACCACTTATAAAATCAAAAAGAGAAGCAAGGACACTTGAAACGCAAAACGACGTACTTGTCCATTCATTGTTGACGCTCAAACACCTGACGTCTTCGACGACTCTAAGTCTGCAACAGGTCGGAGAGAAATCACCGTAATACTGGTATTGCCAAGGTCAGCCAGCCGGGAAATATAAGGATGGCGGCCATGGAGGACATGACCTACAAGATAAGTAGGATTCTCACTGACTAGAGAACTCTGTATGAAGGGAAATAGTTAGAAGGGCAAGACCAGAGGGGGATGTACTTGCGTGCATCCTGCCAGTGATGCTTGTACGCACCGTTGTGTATCCTGCTTGGTCATGCTCTGTTTATTGAGTATCGTATACGCTACAGCGAGCGAGAACTCTTACTGAGGAAATGCGTCACGAAATCGGAAGATAGACTGCGTTGGACGTACCACACATGCAACATGCACTCAAACATGTTGTAGACAAGCCGATTCATAGTTAGAAAACATCAATCGACGTGGTACAAGGGTGCAACCAACGCGACTTGGGGAGAGGGTTAGTCGCCCGAAGCCAGGCGGATATAGAGAGACTTCCACCCCACCTTTCTCCTGTGACCGCATGGCATGCCACCTCGTCATGTGCCGTCGCACCGACAATTTTAGCTCTTTAATAGTTCTAAACATAGAAGCTCCAATTAGCCAGCGAAAAGTTGTCGACAAGCTGTAAAGACCCAATCCCGAGTCGTGAGCGATCGGCGAGCTAAGCTTGCTAGAAGTTGCTAACTAGTCACTAATGGCACGAAGATGGTGTCTAAAAGCACGACTAAGCCAAATAGGCCCCATCTGCCGTCCCACGAGTGCTGGGACAGGCTTTCCAGGTCCATGATCATGAGGGGTCAAATCAGGAGCGTGAGTAGGCAGAAAAGCACGTGTCGATGGTGCATTCGCTGGCGGAACGTACAACAGAACTCATTCAAGCACCACAGTTGTCACCGTCTACTAGTACGCTGTTCCAGGCAATATCTGACCCGAGGTCTCGAAGATGTTCAGCCAGAGATAGGACAAAGGCCCGTGCGACGTGCGTACATTAAGACCAGTCACCGTGACCAGAAGAGAAGCCTTCTCTTAGGTTCCACAATACGCGGCATACGCGCGCGGAGGGTTTGCACACCTCTGAATCCTTTATAGGCGAAGTAAATCGAGTGTCGGCAGAACTGGCCTCATACCAGGTTTCATCGATGTCATCTGTAGAGCTATCTAAGTAAAAACAATCAGAAAAAACATCAGCGTGTACATGTACTTACAAGCTTGAAGTAGGTACAAGTGTGTAGTGATGTAGTGATGTAACGATCGTGCACGTGTACTGCTCCCACGTGAGTTACAGATCTGCCCCTGCTCGTCGACCAACTATTCTTCACCTCCTCCGAGGCCGTTGGAAACAATGTCTATGGCCTTTCCAGATTATCGATCCGTGAGTTGAGCTTTCAAGCCGTTTCCCATGTAAAGGAAAGTATCACGTTACGGGTAGAACGGCTATAGTGTCGGGCCTCCTTCTCGATCCAGCAGCTTGGCGAACGATACTAATAGTGCTTTCACCGGTCCAACCTATACTTTATCTCCTCAAATACCTACCTACGTGGCACCTGCCATGTCCAACCCTACGTCCTATAGCTTCGAGCAAGACGGGTATTCGGCATCGCCTCAAGGGGGACTGACACACGCACGATCACTTGTCGCGCCCCGGCCGCACCGCATGGATATGGAAGGGAACGTATGTCGTGGTATGTCTCTTGTCCTATTGCCACTCACACAAATTCATAGATATCAGACAATCTGAGTGCTGGACTGCACCACTCTTCCTCCATGTCCTCTCGTCATTCCCCCATCCCTGAAGCGCACGCAAGTTGGATGATCTCAGCACCGGCTCCCCCACTGGCGCATCGCACGCCATCGGTTGGATCCAGTTTTGCTCCTCGATACAGTTCTCATCAGTCTGTACCTCTGTCCCGCGTAAGTGGCCATGCGCACAGGCAAGACGGTTTGACCCCGCCACCTTTTCCTGTTCCATCGCCTGCATCGGGTTTGTCTGTGTTATTTCCTTGTGTCTCGTATAGTAACACCACCAATCGCCAGCTGTTTGGCGACCACCACAGCAGGATATCGTTGGGGAAATGGCGCGGCTGAATGTCAGCAGCGGTGAGACCGACGATAATCTTGCAATCTCTTTCTAATGCAGTGGCGACAGGCGTTCTCCAGTCATCAGCACCCGTCGGCCCTCGCCCGCTCGTTCGTTCGTCGTCGCTGTCATCTCCGTCTCTCACCGCTCCGTTGCCGACAGTTGGCGGCCTCACAAAGGCTCTCCCGTCCATTCAGGCTGTAGGGCAGAGCGCGGAAAGCCAGATCGGCTGGTGCACGGACGTTTTTTTCCTGGTTGACCGGCAAAGAACGGACAAAGTCTGTTTTCAATTTCAAGGATTTGGCGTCAGTCGCTTACCGAGTTATTTGTGTTCACAGCCTGCGCCGCCACCAGCGTGGGATCCTGCGTTTGCGGACCTTGCCTCAGGATCGGCGGCGATCGAGGATCCTCAACTGCGCCAACTTGCGGACGTGGCCGTCGGCCTCGTACTGGAACTCTCTGAAGGCAAGTAGCGCATGGTTCCAGGAGGCGAGTGCTTGCTACAAAAGCTTCACAGGCCCTTCTGCAGTATCATCTGCCGAAGCGCGCTTCCATCGTGCGTGTCTTGAAACAAGTGGTGCAATCCCGCA